CATAGTTTAAATGGACTCGGACTGTAATTTTGTTAGGTGCCATCAAGTAGGTCCTGACTCATAGCAACAGTATGTGCAATAGAATGACACCATACCTAGTCCTGTACCATCTCCACAATGATTATTATATTTGAGACTACTGTTGTAGTCACTGTGTCAAGCCATCACATTGAGGGTTTTCCTCTTTTTCACTGACCCTCTACTTCACTAAGCATGATGTTCTTCTCTGATTGCATATCCTGATTGCATATCCAGAGTATGTAAGACAAAGTCTCACCATCCTCCCTTCTAGGAACACTCTGAATGTACTTCTACCAAGGCATGGATGTTTGTTCTTCTGGCTGCCCAAGGTATCAATTCTCCAGTCTTCCTTACTCATTCTCAAGTTTTCATGTGTGTATGAGGTGACTAGAAATACCATGGCTTGGTTCACCTTGGTCCTCAATGTGACATTTTTGCTTTTTAACACTTGTAAAGAAATCTTGTGCAGATTTGCCTAATGTGTCATTTGATTTATTGACTGCTTCCATAAGCAATGATTGTGGAGCTCAGTAAAATGAAACTGTTGACAACTTCAATATTTTCTCCATTTATCATGATACTGCTTTTTGGTCCAGTTGTGATGATTCTTGTTTTATGTTGAGTTTAATACAATAAAAGACTGTAGTCTTTGATCTTCATCAGTAAGCACTTGTCTTCAGTTTCAGCAAGAAAGACTATCATCTGCATAACACAGGTTATTGATTTTTCTTCCATCCTGATGCCACATTCCTCTTCACAAAGTCCAGCTTCTCAGAGTATGTGCTTAGAATACAGACTGAAAAATATGGTGACTGGATACAATCCCAACACACACCTTTACTGATTTTAAACAGTATCCCCATAAATCCCAAAGACAGTCTCTTTGTCTATGTACATGTTCTGCATGAGCACAATGAAGTGTTCTGGAAGTCCTACTCTTTGCTACAATGATATTCATAATTTATTGTGGTGTACTGAACTATTCTATTTTCTAGCCAGTCTGTGGTGGTGGTGGTGTGCTGTGGAATCAGTTACGACTCAGTGATCCTGTATATGGTTTCTGAGGCTATAAATCTTTAAGGGAGCAGAAAGCCTCATCTCTCTCCTGCAGAACCACTGGTACTTTTGAACTAGCTGACCTTGAAGTTAGCAGCTCGACTTATAACCACTACGCTACCAGAGCTCCATAGCTAGTCTGTAACTCCCACCAAACAACATTTTGTCCTGCTGGGTGTAGGTTAAGAGAAAGTGGGAGAAGATGCTGATAGGATTATATGATTCAGTTGGAAGTGGTTAGCACTTAATTGCAATTGTAAACATGGAAATCTAATGTGTATAAAATGAGTCATTTCAGAAAGAGGGGGTTCTCACTGCCATCAAAGACCTAGGAGTGGAGCACATCCTTTGGATCCTAAGATCTTAAACCTCTTCAACCCAAGGACAGAAAGCTGATACTGGAGGAGTAGCAAAGGAGCAATAGCAGCAGAACCAAGAAACCAGAACATGAGATAAAGCAGTGGTTTTTCCAGTCCCCAGAGCAACTATAAACTGAGTAATTTTGGACAGGAGGTTTGCTTGCAGAGTGAGGTGCCTCCAGGCACTAATTGGGCTAGGTTTGCTGACCTAGCTGACTTCAGGCTGAGGATTATGGTGAAGTGGTGTCTCCTGTGGGCATTATAGAGGAGCTTTATAACATTGGCTAGGAAGAAAGAGGCCTGCCTGTGGACATGGCCGAGGAGAAGCTGTCCTGACTGGAACAACTGTTCCCTGAACATTTCTGGCCCTGAATAGTAATCCGTAACTTCCCTGAACACCCCCTAAATGTGAGTATGGCGTCTGTTCTATGCGGCCATTTCAATGAATTGTTGAACCCGCTGGAGTACAGAAGGTTGTGGAAGGAATCGGTAGGGTCGTAATTTTTTGCAGTTATGATCCATGCAGTTGGATGTCTTTGGGTAATCAAGATAGTCATCTTACTAATATGTTTCTGATTGTAATAGGCACAGAAAATACTTTTTTTGTGAATTCAGGTTCACATGATACAGAATGCAAATTCAAATATAAAATGTGAATTTACAAACTAAGTTTCTTTTAAATGATATATACAACCTGATTCCATCATATTTATACCGTAACTTATTCAAATTTAAAAGAATGCAAATCTTTATAAATATTGGCCTTTTTTATGTTCCTTCATACCCAATTATATATTCTGTTTCTTTATTGAAGATATTTCTATATTTTCTTTATTGCTTTCCAATCAGGAAGCATGCCATGGTTGTATTCTTTCACCATATTTATTCAATCTGTATGTTGAGCAAATAATCTGAGAAGCTGGATTATACGAAGAATGTGGCATCTGGATTGGAGAAAGCTGCATTAACAACCTGTGATATACTGATGATACAACCTTGCTTGTTGCAAGTAAAAAGGATTTAAAATACTTACTAACGAAGATTAGAGACCACAGCCTTTAGCATAGATTACACCTCAATGCAAAGAAAACAAAAATTTTCACCACTGGACCAATAAATAACATCATGATAAATGGAGAAAAGATAGAAGCTGTCAAAGATTTCATTTTCCTTGGATCCACAATCAACACTCATGGAAACCACAGTCAAGAAATCAAATGAAGTATTACATTAGGAAAATCTGCTGCACAAGACCTCTTTTGAGTGTTCAAGAGCAAAGATACCAGTTTGAGGGCTAAGGTGTACCTGAGCCAAGCCATGGTATTGTCAATTGCTTCATATGCATGTGAAAGTTGGACAATGAATAAGGAAAACCATAGAAGAATCAATGCATTTGAATTATGGTGTTGGAGAATATTAAAAGTACAACAGACTGCCAAAAAACCCCAACCAAATTTGTGTTGGAATAAGTATAGTCAAACCTTAGAAGCCAGGATGAAGTGAGACTTCCTCTCATTCTTCAAATATGTTGTCAGGATAAAGCAGTCCCTGAAGAAGGGCATCATGCTTGGTAAAATAAGAGGGTCAGCCAAAAAGGCAAGGACCCTCAACAGCTGGATTGTTACAGTAGCAGTAGCAATGGGCTCGCATTTAACTATCTTGAGGATGGTACAAGATTGGGCAGTGTTTAGATCTGTTGTTCGATAGGGTTATTATGAGTTGGAACTGACTAAATGTCACCTAACAACAAAAAAATAGCTAGGAAAAATAGATGATGATAAAGCAATTCTCTATGGTTACAGTTTAAAAAGGGAATTAGTGATGGAACTTTCCAAAATGGAGACCGTCTTAGTCATGATGAAAATATGGTATCTTCTCCTTTCAGATTTTTACCATTTAATTCCTACTTTATGAATAGAGCAAGTTACTGATTAGAAGGGCAGTAACTTGGTCCAGTGTGGATAACTTAATATAAAACTTAATATAAAACAATATCAAAGGACAATAAACAATAAGACACTTGTATTTACTCAAAGAACAGAAAATTTTATTGCTTTAATCTAAGCCAAGTAGATAAAAAATGTGGTAAGCTGTTACTATGAAAATATTAAAAACAATCTTTTTTGCTGATTTATTTTCATCTGATTATAATTTTTTTTTTTAAATGGCTGTTTATGAACATGGTCAACTAAAGAGAGTAATACTTAACAGGCATTACTTGCATGTCAAATTTTTTACAATCTCATATGAATTTTAAGAAACATGTTATGCTCTGAAGGTAACATTTAAAAATTAATAACATACACTCTCTATTAGAGACTTTTTTTTTTGGTCTGGATTTAGAATTCTCTAATTTAATATAATGTTGACCTGGCTACCTTTCTAAAATTGCTCACTCATTATGGAAATCAATGTCATATTTCAGGAGGAGTCAAAAAATAGCTTCCACCATGTTGGTTCTGAGAAAGAGGGGAAGAGGTCTAGGCCTAGAGAATATGGAGCCAGGATTTAGCAAAATCATTTTCAAGAATTTCTCCCAAGGTTTTTCTTCCTACCTGCAAACATCTATAAATTTCTTTTACCCATAAAATGTTTTACTTTGGTTTTTAATAAAAAAATAATACTCTTTTACAACACTCATTAATTTAATTTACGTAGTAGTAATATAATCTCAGAAGAACAAGTTAAGCATCAAACATAAAATCACAAAAGAAAGTCCTAATGAATAACTAATATTGCATGTACTGTACAATTTGATATACAAACTACAAGAGAGATCATTTTAATGCAGAAATCCAACTTTGTAAGTTTTTACCGTGAATTGGAAAGTTTATATGGCAGAACATCAGTTTTATATTCAACTAATTGTATTTTGTTTCATTGCAATGATTACAATCTCCTCCATGTACCATCTAGTCTTTTTTTTTTTTTTTAATGTACACAAAACACATAGAAATATATATTTGTTTAAACAACCAAAGCCAGCCTCCTACCCGCCGACCCACACAGGCTTTCTCTTTCCATGGGTCTAGAGTCCTCAGCTGCTCTATGTCTCCATGTCAACACCTCTGCACCTGTCTCTGGTGTCCCTGCTTCTCTGGTTAGGGTTCCACATTCAGCTCATGCTCTTCTCTCTTGATGGTTTTAGGGTCTTCTGTTCCTAGAATGTAAGATTAACTACAACCCCCTCTTTGTTTCACATCTTCTACCTTTACAGTGTGACAATTGCAATTAGTCATGATAAGAACTACTCACTACTAAATCATCAGAATCTTATCCCCATCTCCTTTCACCAGACCCATCTAGACAAGATGAAAACTATTCAGTAGGAATTGTAACCTTCTCCACCTCACTCTGAAACCAAGCACACTCATAAAAATGTGTAAGTCAGCCGCTTCATGCCTTTATTGTTGTTGTTACTGCTGCTAAGTTCCATTGAATCGGCTATAGCACTTCCATTTTAGGGAGCCAATGTTTAAGTTGCCCGTCCCTATCAACCCTGTGGATTAGGGGATAGGCTTGAGACTTGATGAGAAATCAACTTTTAAATATATATGTTTTTATAACACAAATATCAAATCTTCATTTTTAATCGTGGTACTTTTATGGCAGCTTTTCCAACTTCTTTTGATATGTCTATTCCAAGAGGACACCTGCATCATAATCGACAAGTAACATTATTTCAATATTTGCTTCATGTTCTATCACTAGTTCTATATCACCAAGACTATATTTGCTTGGAATTCTGACAGCGTTAAGTATCAACATACATGATGATGATGGTTCTTGAATGCCTACATTGGATCTTAAAGTCAGGATAATGGGCTAATAAGTAAGGCTAGTCTCATTAAGAAGAAATCTAAACATAGAGACAATTTTGAAATACTTTGATTGCTTTCAAATATTAACAGAGACTTAAAATGATAAAGTAAAAAAAAATTGTAATCCATACAATTCTCACCTCCCATAAACCCATTGCTGTTGCACTGATTTCAACTCATAACTACCCAAAAGGACACAGCAGAACTGCTTCTTAGGGTTTCTGAGACTAAGTCTTTACAGAAACAGCAAGCCTTATCTTTCTTCTGCCGAGTGGCTGGTGGGTTTGAACTGCCAACCAGCAGTCCGGTCTACAGTACCACACAAAGCTTAATGGGTCAAAACATTTTACCATATAGCCAAAGTAAAGCCTGTGGCCATTCATATTTTAGAAAATTTCTTGGTTTCTATAAATTCTGCTCTGAGCTTTCAGAAGCTGGCATCCTTTTCAGACCTTCCTTTGGCACTACTGGTAGGAAGATTATGTGTTGTACTCTAACATAGGTTAGGTCTTCTTTCTCTGTTCCTCCTCAATAAATGTTAGCCTCAGATACTTGATTTTTTCTACAATGTTGCACAAGATAAGGCATGGAGTGGATCCCAACTAAGAAAATGACATCACCTGCAACTTCAACCCTGCCACAGAAGGACACAAGTGGATCAGACGACCTAATAACATTTAGAGATTTCTTCTGAGGCTACTATGTTCATTTATGACCAGCCTAAATATTCTGTGTAATAGAGTCCTGATGTGGCACTATAGGATAGGCACTGGATTGCAAAGTCATTTGAACTGCAAGGTCAGTGGTTCAACTCACCAGCCACTGCTCAGAAACTATGCACAGGGTCGCTATGAGTTGGAAACCATTACACAGCACTTAACAACAAAATATTCTGTTTATGTTACACAGATATCTGGTTATAGGCTATAATGCTTACAAGTTTTAAAACATTAGATGAACAATGTTCAAAACAGAACTATGTTAGATACAGTACAACACATAATCATTATTAGTATAGAATTCAATGTTAGCCTAAAATTTAATATCAAATTGAAGAAATGTGCTATTTTTTGGAACTTTAATGTAGAAGAAAAAATGTTTGCAGAAAACAGCTGTTGTGTGGGAACACAACCACAACCAAGTTTAATACCTGAATGCTTTTGTACATTTCAAACTTCCTAGCATACTAGCTGGTTCTGTCAAGAGATCTTCTTGACACTGGGAAGCTCTATGGTCATGCTTTTCAATCTGGTCCCAAATGATGTCTTCATCACCCACACCCACAGTCTGTTTCTAATCTATTATTTGATACTGTAGTAAAAATATTTCTGCAAAGGTTAATTTTATTCTTGACATGTCAAGAAAAATGAATGATTTTAATGACAGAAATGAATGTGATTTTTCAAGTATTTCTAGGATGCCAATGAAATCCTCATATATTAAAAGCAAACTGCAGTCTGACTTCAAAACTGTAACTTGTATAAAAACTAGGAATGGTATCACCTACTTTGGTTCATAGCGTATGCCTTCTGTGTTGTGTAAAATACCCAAACCAGCACGTAATCTTTCAATGCCATTCCTAAAGAAAAATTAACAAAATAAAATAAATAGCTCGAAGATTTCAAGGAAGGAGATTCATCATGATGAAATAGCAATATGTTTTCACATCATGAGCGAGACATATACAATTCATGGCTTACCATGCAATCATAATGCCATTGTCGGTGCACAGTCTAGGGGGAGGGCACAACAAAGTGCACTGAGTTGCATTTGCTACAATTTCTAGAGCTTTTCGAATATACAGGTTACTTGCAACGCCTCCAGATGCAACCTGCAGGGATGGATTGAGAAGACTAAAATGAACACTATCACATATGGATAACACCAAACTGTTAGCTAAACCTGGGGAAAATACCAACATCATTCAACAAGAAAACAACACATTTTGAGAGGTGGACAATGGGCAAGTGATACCAATTTAGAGAAAACACAATTTCAACTTCAAAAGAAAATCACTATGAACAATTTTGTACATTTCCCCTAATCTTTTTCTATATATCTCTTCAATATAATTACAATCATGTGGTTGTTAGAGGCTATCAAGTTAGATCTGACTCATAGTGACCATAAGCAACAGAAACACTGCCCAGTCCTGTGCCATCCTCACAATTGTTTTACCCCACTTTTGCTGCCATTGTGTCACTCCATCTTGTTGGGGATTTGCCTCTTTGTCAATGACCCTCCACTTTATGAAGCATGGTGTCATTCGCTAGGGACTGGTCCTTCCAGACGTGTCTAGAGAACAAGAGATAAAGTCTTGGCATTCTGACTTCTAAGGAGCATTCTGGGTGTACTTTTTCTAAAACAGATTTGTTTGTTCTTCTGGTAGTCCACATTACTTTGAATACCATCGTTTAAATGCATTGATTAAGGAAAACTATACTGACTTAAAACTAAGTATAGTTTTCCTTACTTAATGTCCAACTTTCACATGAATATGAGAATGAAAATACCATGGTGCAGGTCAGCTGTACCTTAGTTCTTTTGCAGCAGATTTTCCTAACGCAATGTGTCATTTGATTTCATGACTGCTGCTTTCATGACTGTTTATTGTGGATCCAGGCAAAATGAAGTCACTGGCAGCTTCAGTCTTTTCTCCATTTATCACGTTATTTACTGATCCAGTTGTGAGGATTTTTGTTTTCTTTACCTTGAGGTGCGATCCATACTGAAAATTGTAGTCTTTGATCTTCATCAGTAAGTATTTTTAAGTCCTCTTCACTTTCAACAAGCAAGGCAGTGTCATCTGCACATCACAGGTTGCTAATGAGTCTTCCTCCAATCCTAATACCACGGTCTGTTCTTCTTCATAAAATGCAGCTTCTCAGGTTATTTGCTCAACAAACAGACTAAACAATATGGTGCAAGGATAAAATCCTGGCATGCATCTTTCCTGATTTTGAACCATTCAGCATCCATTGTTCTGTTCAAACCACCTTTTGGCTTATGTACAGGTTCCTAGTGAACATAATAAAGTGTTCTGGAATTCCCATTCTTTGCAATGTTATCCATAGTTTGTTATGACCCACACAATTGAATACCTTTGCATAGTCAATAAAGTACAAGTAAACATCTTTCTGGTATTCTTTGCTTTTAGACAAGATCCATCTGACATCAGCAATGATATCCCTAGTTTCATGTTCTTTTTAAATTGATTTGAATTTCTGGCAGTTCCTTGTTGATGTACTGTTACAACCATTATTGAATTATCTTCAGTAAAATTTTACATGCGTTTGAATTAATGATATTGTTAGATGGTTTCTGTATTCTGTTGGGTCACCTTTCTTTTGAATGGGCACAAATATGGATTCCTTCCAATTGGTTGGCCAATAGCTGTCTTCCAAATTTCTTGGCATCAATGAGTGAGTGCCTTCAGTGCTGCATCAGTATGCTGAAACATTCCAATTTGTATTTCATCAATTCCTGGAGTCTTGTTTTTCTCCAATACTTCAGTGCAGCTTGGACTTCTTCTTTTAATACTCTTGGTTCTTGAATGTGTTACCTCTTGAAATAGTTGATCATTGACCAATTTTCTTTGGTACAGTGACTGTGTATTCCTTCCATCTTCTTTGGATGTTTTGTGTATCATTCAATATTTTGTCCATACAATTCTTCAATATTGCAAATTGAGATTTGAATTTTTTCTTCAATTCTTTCAGCCAGAAAAATGTTGACCGTGATCTTCTCTTTGTTTTCTAACTTCAGGTCTTTGTACATTCATTTTAATACTTGACTTTGTCTTCTTGTACTGCCCTTTGAAATTTCCTGTTCAGCTCTTTTACTTCATCATTCCACCTAGCTGCATTAGCTTATCTATGCTCAAGAGCATGTTTCAGTCTCTTTTTCTTTTCATGTTGGTCTTTTCTTTCTTTCTTGTCTTTTATTTTCTTCATGTACAATGTTCTTGATGTCATCCCACTACTCTGGTTTGGTCACTAGTGTTGAATGCACCAAGTATGTTCTTGAGTTCGTCTTTGTTGTTGTTGTTGTTAAATGCTGTCGAGTTGGTTCCGACCCATAGCGAGCTTTTATGGGGTTTCCGAGGAGCAGCTGGTGAGCTTGAACTACCAACCTTGCAGTTCAAACAGCTTTTCAGTCTGGCGCATTAACCCACAGTGCTACACCAGGACTCCTGAGTTGGTTTTTGTTGTCGTTGAGTGCCATTGAGTCAGTTCCGACCCATAGCGACCCTGTATAGGGTTTCCGAGGCTGTAACTCTTTATGGGAGCAGAAAGTCTCATCTTTCTCCCGCGGAGCAGCTGGTAGTTTTGAACTGCTAACCTTGCAGTTCGCAGCCCAATTCGTAACCACTACGCTATCAGAGCTCCTTGAGTTGGTCTTTTAGGTAGGATATATTCAAAGTCGTATTTTGGTTCTTGTGGACTTGTTTTAGTTTTCTTCAGCTTTAGCCTGAACTTGCATCTGAGCAATTGATAGTATTCCACAGTCAGCCACTGGCCTTGTTTTGGCCAATGATATTGATTCTCCATTGTCTCTTCCCACAAATGTAGTCTATTTAATTCCTGTGTACTCCATATGATGAGGTCCAGTGTCCAGTCACTTTTTATGTTGTTCACAAAAAGGTATCTGTAATGAAGTCATACTGATCTTGCAAAACAATGCCATTCTCTGGCATTTTTTCTATCACCAAGGCCATATTTTCCAACTATGGCTACTCTTTGCTTCCAACTTGTGCATTCCTATCACCAGGAATTACCACATCATTTTGATTGCATGTTTGATCAGTTTCCGAATGAAGAAGTTGGTAGAATTCTAATTTTATCATCACTGGTTTTAGTGGTTGGTATGTAAATTTGAATACTGGTATTAACTAATCTTCCTTATTGTTGTTGTTAAGTGCTGTCATTGGTTCCAACTCATAGCGAACCTGTATAGGGTTTTCAAGGAGGAGTTGGATTTGAATTGCTGACCTTGCATCTCAAATTGACCTTGCGGGTCCAGTACATTATCCTGCAGTGTCATATGTTTATTATCCTATCACAAAAAGCATTGTAATTCAAGATAAATCTTAAACTCCTCTTTTTGATGATAAATGCAATAATTCCTCTTAAATTTGTTATTCCTGGTATAGTAAACTGTGTGATGGTCTGATTCAAAATGGCCAATACAAGTCCTTTTCAGGTCACTAATGCCTAAGATATCAATGTTTATACATTCCATTTCTTTCTGATGACTTTCAATATTCCTAGATTCCTGCTTTGCACATTCCATGTTCTAATTATTAATAGATGTTTGCAATTGTTTCTTCCATTTTGAGTTGTGCCACATCAGCAAATGAAGGCCCTAAAAACTTAACTCCATTCATGTAAGGTTAAGTCTACTTTAAAGAGGCACCTCTTCCCCAGTGGCATTTTGAGTGCCTTCCAACTTCAGGGGCTTGTCTTCCAACACTGTATTTGGGAAATGTTCTGCTACTATTCATAACGCTGCTGGTGGCTAACTATTCATAAGTGGTCAACCTCTTGTTTCTTACTCTTTCTTAGTATGGACACTGTTGAAACCTGTCCACCATAGGTGGCATGTTGGTACTTAAGATACTGGTGGCATAGCTTCCAGCATCATCGCAACAGACAAGCCATCACAGTATGACAACCTGACAGATGAGATGTGGGATTACAATCATACTAAGTCAATAATTTAGACTCTTTATATTTTATGTGTAAGCATTTTTTATTTTACTACATAATTAAAAAAACCAAAACCCAACAAACTTATGTTTCATAATTATGTATTATGTTACTTTGTAAACTTACCATCATTTAATTGTTTCCACACTGTAATTTTCAAAACCAAAGGTTTATGATATAGTTTTAAAGAACACTTTTCAAGGCACATTTAAAGGGATTCATCAAAGGAAGCTTATTAATGTTTAAAAATAGTGACAGTAGTTACTATATTTGGTTCCCTTACTGTGAACATTCTTTTCAATTCAGTGGGAAGAGGCCTTAGACTTATTTTTTTGCCCATCAGTCTGTTCAGATATGCCATTAAGCTGTCATATATGTACAAGAAATGGCTGTTATTGGGCCTTCGATATTCCACATAATTTCACAATGTCAGGGCAAGCATATTACATAAAGATCTGCTCATCCTAAGCACAGGATCAATTAAGCTCTAGGAAGAATAAACTATTAAATTGTTATTACTACTATATGACGAGATGATAAACACTTACCAGTACTGCATTAGTCTGAGATAACAAGCCTCTCTGCTGGCAAAACAGGAGAGCACGATGTGTTCTTTTTGCAATGTGACACGCTGCTGTGTGCTGTACTGCAGCAGCAATGTCTGCAGCTGAAGACAGGATTTGTCCCATCTCAATACCTGCAAAAAATGAGAAGGGAATTTGAGACACAATCCAAGATTATGTTTTTGCCCAACTTTGTTCATTGGAAATATACCTTCCTCTTTTTCCTTTTGCATTATTATTTTGTCAACAATGTTTTGAAGTCCAGAAAAAGAAAAATCACAATTTTTAGCACGTTGCATGGGAGGTTTGAGATCAAAATACAATTTATTTCCTTGTTTAGCCAAATGTTCTATGGCTTTTCCACCATTCATAGTGGAGTACTCTGGATGCTTTATTAAAGAAAGTCTTCTTGCTATCTATAAAACAAAACATACATTTTCCTCATGAGTAATAAAATTCATATTTTGAAACCAAAGGATGCAAAGGAAATCAAATATTACTAAAACAAACCAGAAGAACAAAACATGCTAGACTTTACAATAGACTACAGCTAGCTGGAGGTCACTTAAGACAGAAAACCCTGCTCCTTCTGATAACCTAAGCAACAACATCTAATTTCACTGATCTTCTATGTAGATTGAAAAATAAGTTTAAATCGACAATTATTTAGAAATTGACTTTAAAAATGTGGACCTGTCCTACTCCTTCTTCCAATCATTTCTGTTGTTAGCAACAGTGGTTTTTTTTTTTTTTTTTGGGGGGTTTTTTTTTTATGTGGCATAGTGGAGTATGGGAATCCTGGTACTGTGGGCTAATGTGTCAGACTGCAAAGTCATTTCAACTGCAAGGTCAGTGATTCAAACTCACCAGCTGCTCCTTGGAAACCCTATACAGGGTCGCTAAGGGTCAGGATCGACTCGAAAGCACTTAAATTAACAAGTGGATTATGAGTTCAGCTGCTAATTTCAAGTCAGCAGTTCAAATCTACCAGCTGCTCCATAGGAAAAAGATGAGGTATTCTGTTCCCATAAAGATTTATAGCCTTGAAAACCCTATAGAGGGTCACTGTTGAGTTGGGGTCAACTCCAAGGCACACAACTACCACTATGACCAATGTAAAGAAAAAAAGAAATCTGCTTTGTAAAATAAAAGGAACTGTGCGATTTAATCACAGAACTTTGTGCATGTTTATTTTTATGTATATCTTATTTCACACTTGTATTTTACAGTTTACCAAGGACTTTCACATGTATTATCCGATTAATCACATACCTACATTTGTAAACTATTTGAACATTTTTGGATATTGATGCAAACATCTACCATTTTATTAACAATTGTTGTTGTTGTTATGTGCCATAGAGTAGGTTCCGACTAATAGCGACCCTTTACAGGGTTTCCGAGGCTGTAAATCTTTATCGGAGCAGAATGCCTCATCTTTCTCCCATGGAACAGCTGGTAGTTTTGAACTGTTGACCCTGAGGTTAGCAGCCTGATTCGTAACCACTATGCTACCAAAAATTTATGTTCTATAGGAGAAAGTCTAATTTTTTATTTTTTTACAAAAATTAGACTTTTTCCTATAGAGCATAAATTTTTCAGTCTAATAAAATATTCAGAAATATGTCAATGAAGAATAGTAGCACATATATCACCACTTAACTATAACACACACCATAACAGAGAAGAATGGAGAAAGTAAAATTTAAATATATCTTACCTTGTCAAGCATGTCACCTGGTGCAATATCAAGAGACTTTCCAAGAAGCAAAAAATCTGAAACTCCTTGAACTAATGCCAATAGACAGTGTCCTCCAGAGATCAAAAGAACTAAAAAAGGAAATTCTACATGATTAGTTAACCTAATAGTAAGTGCATGGGCCTCCATATGATGGATGGGAATGAAGGGCTTCTTAAATTGATCTACTAGCTGCAAGCTAAATGATAAACCTATTCCCAAGCTTAAAGCAAGGCCTGGCTTTATGGTGGTTGCAACTGCTGAGAGTTCACTTGGAGAAATTCTGCTGGCAGTAAGAGCTTCGTGCACTATTCGATGAATATTTTCTCTGTGAAGCTGTTGCGCTACTGGAGGAATAATCCCACCTGTTCTGAAAGAAATAATAAAACATTTATTAATTTAAAAATTGTAAAAACAGAGTAAGAAAAATTATAATATATACTATAGCAGAGGAGTCCTGGTGTGGCGCTGTAGGATAAGCACTCGACCACAAAGTCGGTTTGAATAGCAAGGTAGGTGGTTCAAACTCACCAGCTGCTCCTCAGAACCTTACACAGGGTCACTATGGCTCAGACTCAACTTGACGGCACTTAACTACATTATAGCAGAAGGCAAAATTTCAAATATATCATTATATGCCAAAATGTATTTTAAGTAAATTCAAATATGTGTGACTTATTATGCCACTAAAATCTGAATAACAGCAAAATATAGTTAGATATAGTGCTGGAAGATGTGTCCCTCAAGTTGGGAGGCACTCAAAATATGACAGGGGAAGAGCTGTTTCCTAAAAGAAGAGTTCACCTTAATGACATGAATGAAGCAAAGCTTACCAGACCTACATTTACTGATGTGACACAACTCCAAATGGAAAGAAACAGCTGCAAGCAGCCATTAATAATCAGAATTTGGAATGTATGAAATATGAATCTGGGAAAATTGGAAGCCATCAAAAATGAAATGGAACACATAAAGATTAATATTCTAGGCATTAGGGATATGAAATGGACTGACACTGGCCATTTTCAACAGGACAATCATATTGTTTACTATGCCAGGAAGCGACAAATTGAAGGGGAATGGCATCACATTCAATCGTCAAAAAGAGATTTCAAGATCTACCTTGAAGTACAATGTTGTCTGTGATAGTATAATATCGATACACCTACAAGGAAAACCAGTTAATACTACTATTATTCATTTACGCACCAACCACAAGATAAAATGTGGAAGAAAATGAATTCTACTAAATTCTTCAGACTGAAATTTATCAAACTTGAAGAACAGATGCATTGATAATTACTGGTAATTGAAACGAGACAGATGGGAACAAAGAAGAAGAATTAGTTGTTAGCAATTATGGCTTTGGTGACAGAAACCAAGTTGGACATTGCATGACAGAATTTCCCAAGACCAATGACTTATTCATTGCACATACCCTTATTCAACAACATTAAAGGCAATTATACACATGGATCTCACCAAATGGAAGATACAAGAATCCAACTGACTACATTTGTGGGAAGGAATGATGGAGAATTTCAATATCAACCAAAACAAAGCCAGAGATAGATAGGAACAAACCATCAATTGCTTCTAGGCAAGTTCAGGCTGAAGCTGAAGAAAATTAAAAGAAGTCTAAGAGAGACAAAATATCACTTTGAATATATCCCACTTGATTTTACAGACCTTCTCAAGAACAGATTTGATACTTTAAACATCAGTGACTATTAATCAGAAGAGCTGTGGGATGGTATTCAAAGCATCAAACATAAAAAAAGCAAAAGGTGATTAAAATGACAAGAAAGAGAAGACTAACATGGATGTCAGAAGATACTCTGAAACTTGTTTTTGAGCATAGAGAAGCTAAAGCAACTAGATGAAATGATGAAATACAAGAGCTTAATAGGAAATTTCCAAGGGCACCCTGAGAAGATAAAGTCAAGTATTATAAAGAAATGTGCAAAGACCTAGAGAGTTAGAAAAGCAAAAGGGAGGATCACACACTCAGCATTTCTCAGCTTGAAATAACTGAAGAAAAAAATTAAGGCCTTGACTTGAAATACTTAAGGATTCCATAGGCAAAATAATGAATGCTGCACAAAGCTTCCAAAGATGGAAGAAATACAGAATCACTGTGCCAAAAAGAATTGGTCAATGCTCAAGTATTTCAAAAGCTAGCATATGATCAAAAACTGATGGTAGAATTCCAAGCTGCACTAAAGGCATTGGCTGAAAACAAGGCTCTAGGAATTGAGAGAATACAAATTGAAATAACAAACTGATGCAGTGCTACAGGCACTTAATCATTGATGCCAAGAAATTTGGAAGATAGCTGCCTGGAAAATCAATTGTAAGAGACCCCTATTTTTACCTATTCTAAAAAAAAAATTGACCCAATGGAATATGGAAATCAATGAACAATATCATTCGTATCACATGTAAGTAAAATTTTTCTGAAGACAATTAAATTATCGATTGCAGTAGTACATCAACAAGGAACTAACTGCCAGAAATTCAAGCTGGATTCAGAAGTTGTTAAGTACTGCAGAGTCTGTTCTGACTCATAGTGACCCTGCACAGGGTTTCCAAGGCTGTAAATCTTTATGGGAGCAGAAAGCCTCATCTTTCTCCCGCAGAATGGCTGGTAGTTTCAAACTGCCAACCTTGAATTAGCAGCCCGATTTGTAACCACTACGCTACTAGAGCTCCTTGGATTCAGAAGAGGATGTGGAAATAGGGATATACTTACTGAGAATACCATGCCTAAAAGCAGAGAATACCATGACGAAGTTTACTTGTACTTTAGTGACTCTGCAAAAATTCAATTTTGTGGATAACAAACTATGCTATGGATTACACTGAAAAAAAAAAAAAAAAACAGTAATTCCAGAACACTTAATTATGCTCATGAGGAACCTGTGCATAAGCCGAGAGAGATAGTTGTTAGTACAGAACAAGGGACACTGAATTGTTTAAAATCAGGAAAGGTGCACAGCAGGGTTGTATCCTTTTACCATATTTTTTCAATTTGTATGCTGAGCAAATAATCAAGAAGGTGGATAATATGAAGAATGGGGCATCAGGATTGGAGGAAGACGTATTAACAGCCTGGGATTTGAAGATGACACAACTTCACTTGCTTGAAGCAAAGCAGACTTAAAATACTGATGACAATCAAATTGTACAGTCTTCTGTATGGATTGTACCTCAGTGTAAAGAACACAAAATCCTCACTAGCCCAGTACATAACACCATGGTAAATGGAGAAAAGATTGAAGTTGTCAAACATTTTGCATGGATCCACAATGAACAGTCATGGAAGCAGAAATCAAATGATGCATTAGGCAAATTTGCTGCAGAGTTCCTCAAAGTGTTACAGAGCAAATATGTCAGTTTGAGGATTAAGGTGCACCTGGACTTGCTGCATGGCATTTTCAGTCATATGTGCATGTGCAAGTTTGACACTGAATAAAGACCATGGAAGAACTGATGCATTTGAATTATGGTTTTGGTGAAGAAAACTGAAAGTACCATGGTTTGCCAGAACAAAAAAGTCTGTCTTAGAAAAAGAATAGCCAGAATGCTTCTTAGAAGCGAGAATAGCAAGACTTCGTCTCCCATTCCTTGGATATGTTGTCAGGAAGAATCAGTCTTCCATGGAAAAGGACATCATGCTTGGTAAAGTGGAGGGTCAATTAAAAAGAGGAAGAGACTTAACAACATGGTTTGACACAGTGGCAGCAATAACACGGTCAAACATAACAATTGTGATAGCACAGGACCTGGCAGTATTTCATTTTGTTAGCGTACAGTCGCTAGGAGTTGAAATTGACTTAACATATTGAAATACCATCATCCTTATTTCTTGAAAGCTACTTTCTCTTTCATATTTCTTCTTTAATAATGACATCAATAACTTTATCATTTAGGTTTCAAGGTTCCTCTTTACCTCCTTTGTTTCCCTCACTCCACATTAAATTTATCACCATTTCCATTACTGTTGTTGTGTGTTCTGATTCAAAGCCACCTTATTTCCAAGGTTGTAAATCTTTATGGCAGCATAAAACCTCATCTTGTGCTCTTGGAGTAGCTGGTGGATTCAAACTGCTGACTTTTCAGTCATCAACATGTAACCCACTATCCCATTTCTATTGCCACCACTAAATTCAAACAGCTACTAGTATCTCAGTCTATTCAATAGCTAGTTGACTTTCCTATCTACATTCTCTGAGCCTTGGAATCCACTCCATGTTGTGTTGTCACAGAAAAATCCAAAGCACTGTGATGACACTGCTACACTCCTACTAAAAAATCTTACTTTCTTGAATTTAGGAGACTTTAAGTCCATTTTTCCCCTTTCCCCTAACTTCCTTCCTTCCTGTGACTCCACTTTAGCTTTTCTTCCAGAGATTATTCTAAGCATTAGGGACAAAAGAGATGACTCTGATCAAAGACTTATTCTTGAAACACATAGTCTTATTATAACTCGTATGCAGTATGGATGGTGGATTAGGTATCAAAGCTAATGAAGAGGCAGGGAAGCCATTTAGCCTCAAAGGTGAAGGAAGAATCCAGTGTAAGAGATAATAAGGGCTTGAAGTAAATTGGTAGGAAAGAAAAGAAAGTTTCATGAAATATTTGCAAGGGGATTTACTATGATTGAATGAATAATTTAGATATGGAGAGATGAGAGAAATCAAATGCGTCCTTCAGGTTTGTGACTTGGAAAAAGGGACTCTCTCCCACAGCAGTCTTCTGTTGTTGCACTTTTCACACTATTTTACAATGATACCGTCCCGTCTTCTTCTTTACAGTAGTAACAGAAGTACTAAAGTTATAACAATGTCTAGTTCTCTTATTGAGTCCCTGCTATTTTTTAGATTTTGTGTTAAATGCTCTAAAAAGGATTTGCATGGAATCTTCACAATACTATAAGTTAGCTGCATTATCTCCATTTTACAGATGAAAAAACTGTTCAAGGTCTCAAAGCTACTAAATGGCAGAAGGAGGAAATAAACTTACACTAGTAACTACTTCATACAAGGAGCTGCTCAGAGGCAAGGATCATGTATTTTCCTCCAATCCTGATGTCAATGAGTCTTCCTCCAGTCCTACTTTGAATAAGCAGCTCTTTCCTAGTCATGTTTTGAGTGTCTTCCAACCTGAAAGGCTCCTTTTCTGCCACTACAACCACCACTGCTATTCATGGAGTTTACACTAGCCAATGTTTTTATAAATGGGGCTTAAGGTCCTTTTTCCTGTTTTAGTCTGGAAATACTTGCCCACCATGGGTAACCCTGCTGGTATTTGAAATACTGAGGATGTAACTTCCAGCATCACAGCAACATACAACCTACAAAAGTACAACAAACTGACAGATGAGTGGTGATTTTTGGTAGTTGTTATTAAGTGCTGTTGAGTTGGTTCCGACTCACGATCATGTATAGGGTTTCCATGGAGCAGCTGGTGGTTGGAACTGCTGAATTTATAGTGAGGAGTCCAGTGCTTATCCTATAGCACCACAACAGGACTCTGGATTTTTGCAGTAGGATTAGCAAAATCCTTTTGTTAATAGAATTAGGGGCCTTATTACAAACAGCCTTAAATATCAGGCTTAGATGTTTCAAGTTGTTCTATAGGAGTCCTGGTATGGAGCTGAGGAATAATGAACTGGACCACAAAGGCAGTATGAACTGCAAGGTTGGTGGTTCAAATTCACCAGCCACTTCTCAGAAACCCTATACAGGGTTGCTATGAGTTGGAACCGAATTGAAGGCACTTAACAAAATAGTAGTTACTCAAGATGTGCTTCTAAAATTTCACTTTAATATGTGACAAATGCAAAGTAATTACTTCATTTTGCTTTTCCAAATGAGTGGAAACTACCAAGACAATGTCTAACCAAAACAAACCCACTGCCACTGAGCCAACTCTGACTCAAAGATACCCTGGAGGACAGAGACTCTTAAGCTTTAACAAACTGCCACATCATTCTATGGAGGAGCTGGAGGCTTCAACTGTTGACCTTTCAGTTAACTGCTGGATGCTTGACCTCTGTGCTACCATGTTTTCAAAAGATCTACTTACTTTAAATGAACTTCAGTTTGGGAATGTATTGCTTCTCCCAAGACATTTCCCGTTTCATCCACCACAGCAGCTGCTGTATCATCACAACTGGTTTCAATTCCCAACACTAGTTTATGAAGGAATCGTTTTCCAGGATGAAAAGTAAAACTTTTTAAAAATTCGTAAATTGTCTTATTTGATGGGCTAGACAAAACTCCAGCTGTCTTATTCAACATTAGCATGTTTGCTTTATAGATAATTCCTAGAAAAGAATTAAAGAAACAATTTATTATTTGGAACTACAATGTTGTTGTTGTTAAATACCATGCAGTCGGTTCTGACTCACAGTGACCCTGCACAGGGTTTCTGAGGCTGTAAATCTTTATGGGAGCAGGAAGCCTCATCTTTCTTCTGCGGAATGGCTGCAGACCTTGAGGTTAGCAGCCCGATTCGTAACCACTACGCTACCAGAACTACATTAGGCTCTGACAACTACTTTTCACAAGCCACTCCTTCAGTTAAGTAAAATCCTGAAAGCTTGGCTTAATTTTCAATCTGTAGCTTACTTAGTTTTATGAAAGTACAGGAAAATTCATAAAATTAGCCAACTTTTTTCATAGTAGTATGCCTGTGAATATACACAACCGTTAAAAAAAAAAAGGCTCTTTAAGGAGGCAATGAGGGAAGTTGTTATTGTTAGGTACCATCGAGTCGGTACTGACTCATAGTGACCTTATGCACAGCAGAACAAAACATTGCCAGATCCTGGGCCAACCTATCGTTGCCATGCTTGAGCCCACTGATGCTGCCACTTTGCCAATCCATCTCACTGGGGCTCTTCCTTTTTCTCAGACCCTCCACTCTACCAAACATGATATCCTTCTCCAGCGACTGGTCCCTCCTGACAATATGTCCGAAGTATGAGAGATGAAGTTTGGCCATTTTGGCCTCCAAGGAGCCCTCTGGCATTTCTTACAACACAGATCTGTTGGTTCTTTTGGTAGCCCATGGCACTTTCAATATTCTCCTCCAACACCATAACTCAAAAGCATCAATTTTTCTACGGTCTTCCTTATTCACTGTCCAGCTTTCGCATGCATATGAGGTTACTGAAAATACCGTGGCTTGGGTCAGGCGCACCTTAGTCCTCAAGTTGACATCTTTGCTCTTCAACACTTTAAAAATAACTTCAATCTTTTCTCCATTGATAAGAATGTTGTTTATTGGTCCAGTGGTGAGGATTTTTGTTTTCTTTACATTGAGACGCAATCCATATAGAAGCAGGATAGACGATTTTGCTAGTGTTTTACTACTGTTATTTTCAAACTGTTAATTATCAAATTAAGCATTATAAAAATATGATTAGAATATAATCATTGCATGAATGATGGTTGTGTGTCATGGAGTAGGTTCTAACTCAAAGTGATCCTGTAAAGGGTCTCTGAGGCTGTAAACCTTTACCAGAGCAGAAAGTCTCCTCTTTATCCAACGGAACAACTGATGGATCCCAACTGCTGACCTCATGATTAGCAGAGCAGCCTACTAAGATACTAGGGTTCCTCACTGCATGAAAAATCCTCTAAAAAGTGTTATTGTTTGATAGCTACAAGTAAGGCTTTTAAAAAAACAAATAAAGACAAAACAGAACAGAAATAAATGCATGCCATTTCCTGGAAACATCTTTCAAAAGAAAATTTAATTATCTGGTTCAAAATGATGAGTGTTCACATAATACACAAAACAAGACGTAGTTGAGAAATTTAGAAATGTGTTCTCATAAAGGACCTCTTAAAGAAACACTGCGGTAGTGCAGTGGTTAAGAATCGAGCTGCTAACCTCAGGGTCAGCAGTTAAAAACTACCAGTTGTTCCGCAGGAGAAAGATGAGGCGTTCTGCTCCCGAAAAAGATTTACAGCCTGGAAACCCTGTGCAGGGTCACTATGAGTTGGAACAGACTCCACGGCACATAACCACCACCAATGTTTATTTTGTCATTAATTACAACCTTTCCAAATCAATCTCAATTTTTACTACGAGATTTACAAACATTTTCCGAGGTTATCTTCTCCATATTATCATAATTAAAAGCCCATCACTAAAATACCCTAGTTTTTGCCATTCCCGAGGAGCGGCTGGTGAATTTGAACTGCTGACCCTACAGTTCAAACCAACCTTGCGGTCCAGTGCTTATCCAACTAATTTAATGTCTCCAAACATCACCCATTCTAGAACTTTCCTGGTGTGGCGCTGTAGGATAAGCACTGGAGTCCTAGTGTGGTGCTGTGTTGGACTGTAGTCGGTTTCAACCCAAGGTCGATGGTTCAAGCTCAGCAGCTGCTCCTCGGAAACCCTTAACAGGGTCGCTATGGGTCGGAACCGACTGACAGCACTTGACAACAACATACAGAGTCGCCATGACTTGGAACCTACTGGATGGCACGTAACAATAGAACGTTCCTGAATGTTTAAGTGGGCCCTTTCCCTATGACACTAAAGAAAAACATTGTGTGTTTTTATTGTTCAGCTAAGGCCAGAGGGCATGCAGGACAGAGACACAGAAGCTCTTTGTAGAGGCAGCTGGGAGGACAGCAGCCCAGACACACTCCCTAGGGGAATCTATTTGCATCACCAAGTCAGGGAAAGACTACTGGCTAGCCCGGCTTTAAATGGTTTGTACTAAGCACTTTTTTTTCGGGCCAAGAAGCCTCCCGACTGAATCCAGACGACTGGTCAGCGGTGGTCTCTGTCCGCTCTAACAAGGCGACAGACTCAGACTCGAACTGCTTTTGTAGGCGTACGAAAACATTATTGAGGAGCGAGGAAATCCACCCACCTTCACAGTAAGCGTCAGAAGCTAATTTTCGTCTTCTTTTCCTAACAGCGCCCACTACCCTTTCCAGTGCTGCAGAAAGCCCGAGCCTGGCGCTCCGGACGTGACGTCACCGGCGCGGTGATCGCGTCCAGGGTGCCCAGGCTGGCCGCTATCGTCCTAGAGCGTGGCGCTCTGATTTAGAATACAGAAAAATACGGGGCTTCCTTCGTCATAGACTGTATGTGCTGGTGTGTTTCTTCTGGATTCATAGCTAACGAGACTTCTTCTACAAAGTCACAAAACTAGTAAGTCGTCAGCGGTGGCCAAACACGGGTTTGTCAGATTACAAAGCATAAGTTCCAAACGTTCCATTATAACTGCCCCTGTACCCCCCCCC